GTCTAGTATTTCGACAATTGTCGTGTATGGGCATATTTTTTGAAAACCTCGTTTATAGCTTATTTTGAAGCCCAGAAAATTCTCTATTTTACTATGTATGCGCTTTGCTCAAGGACTTTGAAATCGGACGAGAAATTGGCGGAAAACGGTAAATGGCTTTTGTTGAACTGGTGGCGAAAACTGAAATGTAATTTTTTTTTCAAAGACACCAGAAGGATTTTTTGAAAATGGGAAGTGAAAAGGGAAGCATTTCCGATCATTTCCACTCAAAATCATATTGGGCGATTTTCTAGCAGAAACCGTTTCCCGTCCTTTAGTACTTTTACAAAAAACGGACATCTCTGAATAAGTTTTATGAAAATCATATTAAATTTGATAAAGAAACATCTCTATACAAACCACCAACAGAAAGAAAACAACTGGTCAATACTGATGAAGGTGACACATGTCTACTCATGTAAACCATTATCAAAAAGTAGTATTTTCATCTTTTTTTATTGAATTTTAGATGAACAACAACCACCTGTTTCAAATAAAGATCAAAATGTAAATGATGATAAATTGCAAAATGATAGTAATGATGATCATCTGGAATTAAGAACATTGTGAAAAAGGAAAACAACAGCAACAGCAGTACCCCCAGAGAAATATACAGAATCAAAACAAAAAAAATTACACTGCAGTAAATATTAATTTAGTTTTTTCTTCGAGAAAGACAAGAATTACGATATCGCCAAAATACAAGGCACTCGGTTGTTTTTCGAATAACTCAAAGATAACAAATGATTGAAACTTGCGGTTTTCAGAGGTCAAAAGAAGGCATCTGAAGCTATGTTTTCAGAAACGACACTGCTTTCCGAAATTATTTGAAAGATCGGTTTCTTAGAAGATCTTTAGAAAAGCAGCTCGGATCTCTAGAAACTCCCATAGAAATCACTTCAATTTTACAGATAGATAGTCCAAAGTGTCCTCTCCAAACTGAGAACTAAGCGAACTTTTAATTTTTGCTGGTTTGGGCGTGGCATCGAATTTCCTGAGAGTCCCAGGATCAATGTTTTTTTAGACGTAGTAATTCCGAAAACCAATGGAAACATAGGTAAACGACCACGCTGAATCTCATGGCAACATTTGTTTTTCAAATAAGTTCCAAAAACCTAGTGAAAACCCATATTAAGCGAAATAACCCATTTGTGCCTATTTTTGAGTAAAATTAGAAAATTCATAAACCAGCCAAGATCCATCACAATTATGCTAGAATATTAAGATCTACTCCATTTTACCTGCTCAATACTGTGCAGTTCAGTAAAAGCTTCAAAAATCTACGGAAAATACTTTTGTTTTGAAAAAGTTTTCTAGAAATCTTCCGAAGTACAAAAAATTTTTATTCTTGCACATCTAGGCTCATTTAATCCATTTTTGTTGCGCACTTTTACATGAAATTGTTTTAATTTTATCTTTCGTTTCTTCTTCATTTTCTTTTCCTACAACACCCGTTGGTTTTGTATGTAATTTTTTTTCTGTCTGTTACTGACGAGAGAAATAGGGCATCGTGAAGTAATTAAATAAAATTATTATTACTTCTTCTATTAGATTATGTTTGAAATGGAAATGAATTGAACAATTTTAAATGCGTTAACTATTTGACAAGCCCGTTTTGTATTTTTCTTGTTCTTTTATCACTTAGAGTAACTAAATATGAGTGTTGATCAAAATACGCATACGTTGTGGATCGTTCTGACCGATGAAGAAACAACATTTCTACTACTGTTACGTCAAATGAAATATCATGAAATTGTAGCACCAGTTAAACTGCACAGTCATTTTCCAAATGAATTAAAACCGCAAGATATGCACGGCAAAGATATGTTTGATTCGACCAATTTTTTTCTGAGAGTGGTTCTAATAGGTCTAGTAAGTAAGTTTTTGAGCTTGATTTTGAATACGATATTATTATTGCATAAAAGTTGCGTTCTGATGAAGAAAATGGGAATTACGAGCAGAATTCTGGCTTTGCAGAAACATTTCTAATGTCAGAGTGTCCTAGAACACTTTTTCTCTATATTATATATATCAAATAGTAGCTCGACAAATTCTCTATCGAATGGTATATTTATTGTAGTGGCCGAATGAGAAACGTTGACATAGAATATCTGAGACTTTTTGCCCGTAGGAGATCATTTTCCATAGCCATTTTAAACATACCTGTCCTCAGAACGGCTGTTTCCGTACATGTGATATACAGAAATATAGCAAAGAAAGAGAGCTTTCGAATGATATATAATAGTGGTGAGGAATTGTGAAACTGAGAGAGAAAGATCCAAAACTACGATCTATAATATATATCAGATGCAGTAGAAACTTAATCAAATTTGATTCGACTAATTTTTTTCTGAGAGTGGTTCTAACAGGTCTAGTAAGTGCCTAGAAATATTCCCCACTTCATTCTACATCTAGCCTCTGATTAGTCAATGGGATTCAGACATGGGCCGATTTCATCAGATAATCGCTCTGTCCGATGATTCCGATAATAATTTTTTTAGTGCCATTCTGCTTCTTCTAATTGACCTTGCTGTATCTCAAAAATTTTGAGCAAAAATCTCACTGTGTTCACTGAGGACATGGAAAACGCTGTGAATACCGAATGTGCAGGAAACAAGTTATCATATGGTCACATTTGAAAAAAGTATTCCAGCCTTCCTGAAGAATGTGCAGGCAAAGGGAAATCTGAAGATTTGCTATAAATCCGACGTATCTTCTGTTTTTGTTGTTAATTGCGTACGTTTCTGTTTCTTCGGCATTATTCGTGTGATGTGTTTATTAGTTCTTCTTGAAACATTGGTATATGATGAATATTTTTGATTGTTCTTACCACTAAAGAACTCTTTCATTACTTATATATTTCTTCTTTTTGATTTTTATGTGATATGAGAAAGAAAGAAGAAAGAAAATTTAAAATGTTTATTCTTTTACAAAAGTAAAGTAATAAAAGAAAGAAAGAAAGAAGAATAGACGTACCTGATAAAGATAACAATAAATGATACAGGTATGCAGAATTTACGAGAATGGTTTTCTCCAACTGCGGGAAGATTACGTGAGATAGATAAATAAATAAATAAAAAAGAAAGACTTCGAGAAATAAATTAAAAACGGCTCATGATTTTTTTTTTTGTGAGAAATACATAGAAATACATAGAAGATGAATTATTATCATCGAGAAACGGATTTCGACCTGTTAAACTTGTTTTAAGAAATTAATTTATATGTCAGATATGTCCAAGTAATTACGACTTTTAAAAGAAATTCTTAAACAAATAATAAAAGTAGAAAACTATTGGCATGGAAATTATTTTATTAAACGAAAGATACGGAACAGTTTTCAGTTTTGATAGACTGAAGTTTTTAACGCTTTAGATTTCTGATTATAATTTATTGAGCAAATGAAAAAACTACAGATTTTTTTATTGTCAAAAATTATAAACATCCATGATAAATTTCTGCATTGAATTGATCTTGTACTTTCATCTGTGTACTATTTTCACTTACTATTATCCATTTTTCAATTGATCTTAAATATCTTATATAAATTTTTTGTTTTGTTTGAAAAAAATTCCTTGTATTTTACGTGTTGAATCTTTTTTAAATATATCTTCTGCCATTAATTTTTCATTATCTACGTTATCATCATCAATAATTGTAAGGCAATCACTGTCAATATTCAGTCGAACATAAAAAATAGCATCTTTTTGAGAGAAACGTGTAAAATTTAATGTAAAAAATATATCTGAATTTAATTCTAAAAGATAGTTTGGACGTTTTGGAAAACCATCGTAAGCTATGTGATAGGCTCTATAATAGGCAATGATATATTTAATCTTGTCGTTGATCGATTGCGATAGTTGTGTTTGCTGTAATAATAAATTTGTTGAATGATAAAAAACTACATGATGCAGACTTTCAGATTTACAATTACCTTGTTGTGGACATAACGAATGATTATAGTGGCCCTTTTGCGGATCATTTGTTCCTTCATACGGAATAAAACGTGCATGTGAACGATGTAAATGTCAAATATAATCATTATTTGGGCGATAAGTCCATAAACGAAAAAAATGTATGAACTCCAGTGTAAGTAATAGAGTTGATAGTACTAATGATATACTACTAATTGATGTATAAGCAACAGCAAGTGGCGAATAACGATTTGCACATGATGCACCCAACATAAAGGATAGAAAACGAAAGAAAAACAAATAACAAGAATAACAAGTCGAGTTAACAATATGCCTTGGGGATGTTCAGAATAGCATTTAAACTTAAAACAAGTTATTGTTGATAAATGCCATACTGTATTTTGTCTACAACATATATATGTCGACGTATCACCACCGACATACACTGCATGTATACAATATTTTGTTATAAGATATAAAAAATTTAAAAATATAATGATTAAAGAACCAGATGATTCAAAAATTATAATTAAAATTAAATATGATAAACTTTTATGATATGGATGAGATGTATCTAGTTCTGATATTTGAACTAAATCGTAAGCACATAGAATGGTAAGACGTATAAAAAATGTAAGAAAATCAATTAAATGAAATATAAGCAATAAATAATATCGTGTTTGATCATACAAGACACACTTGTTTGTTTCAGAACGTCCAGATTATGGTTTTTCTCTATTTGGAGCCGTGCATATCTCCTCTAACATATCAGTGGTAGTGCAAAACACTTTGAACTGATATAGTCGAATTTGAGTTATGAAGGAAAACGTTTCTTCCAGTTAGATGAGACTTTTCTATAAATCGAAAATAAAGTTCTAGAATCTCTACTTGCTTTCTGTAACAAGTTTGTAATTTCAAAGTGCTTGATATTAAGTTAAGCACATCATTGTATCCGAACCCATGAAAGAGAGACCTTCATCAAACGTTCCTAAGGGCTTTTAAGATAGTTTTGGAAAACTGACTGTTTCAAAAGTTACTTTAAATTATAGAAAACCGTAATCAAGACTCTTTTTGATGATAAGAAATTAGAGAGCGAACATTTCTGATCAAAATGAGCCCTCTCCCAGCTCCACGCAACGTTTCAGTAAAGACTTATAACAGTTGTGTAAACATGGACGCCGCGATAACAGGAGTAGAGAGGTGAGAATCTGCACCTTGCTTTTTGAAATCTTTTACTCCA